ATTAAACATTCCCTCCCTGGCATCACTGAGCTCCATCTCTGTCACACTGGCAGCTGCAGCATCTCTGCTCGGACCGTTTCATGACCCCGCGACCCTGAGTGAAGGATAAAGCAGACAAAGAACAAATTTAAAATAATGTAAATTTAAGTCTGTTGAAAATGTGACTAATATAATTATAAAAATTAATCAGTGATGGATGAAAACAGATCATGACCGGTATGGATGTGAATCTTAGAGCAACTCACGATTGGGCATAGATATTCTGCTGGGGTGGGGCTGGGTTGGTGCCCTCGGACTCCGTGAGGCTCTGTAATGCTGCTGCTTAGGGCCCTGGCAGGATAGGGCTGGGGGCTCCATGCCCTGGGTGGCAGTTTGACAACAGAGGTGCCTATTGGGGCCAGTAGGGGAGCTGGCTCCCTGGAGGGCTAAGCCCAACCAGCCATTCCTCCCCATCCCCGCATATTTCTCTCCTCCTGCTCCCTCACATCATCAAACAAACATACACATAGGACCTTGGGGGGTGGGCAAGTCAGGGAGTGCGGGTATGGACCCCATTTCCGCATTCCCCTGGCAACCTGCCCCCCAATTTTATTTGCACCTTATACACTTCCACTGACGACATTCCACACAAACACACACTTAGGGCCTTGGGAGTGAGCACATTCAACGGCATTTGGCAGGGGGATATCTCAGCCTCCTCCCGGGTGCCAGTGCCCACTTCCAATTTTAAACCGCACTTAGACACTGATGGCTGAGGGTGTAAGTGGAGTGGTGCGGTGGCATCAGCTGGCATAGGCCAGATGATGCCCGCACTGCCCACTCACCACAGCCATGGAATACACCTCATGATCACACAACACTATATTGGAGCAGGCGGAGGGAGACTAGGGGTCTTAGCCACCTCTGTTGTTGCTAGGCTTCCTGGGGCTGGAGGCTAGGAGGGAGATCTGGCCGTCTGGTTGGGGTCTGGGGTGGTGGGTTGCTGTGCTCAGCGTTGGGCGGGGGAGCCTGCTCATCAGCACCCCAGCAGAAAGGGTCAAACTCTGGTTACCGGTGATGGTTGTACCCAATGTGCAGCAGTACCGGGACCAGAGTGAATAGGGTGTGTATGGGGAGCATGAGTGGGTGTCCGGCGTGCATTTTTGTAAGTCTTGGGTTGTATGTGCATGTGTGAGCATGAGGGAGGGAGTGTGTGACTGTGTTTGTGTATGATTTTATATGTCAGGTGGGGCCTTTGACTCCTCCCCTCTCCTGGAACTTCTCTTGATGATATAGATCTTCGTCCCCCCTCCCCCTGCCACACCTGGTGTGAGGGGTTGTGCCATTGTCTGCCTGAGTGTTCGTGGCAACCGGGTCTGGGGGTTTAAGATTTTGGCATCTGCCTGATAGATCCCGGTGGCTGCCTGGTGGGGTCTGGGTCCCTGGGCTCTGCTGGGTCCCCGGCGGGGGTGGTCGCCCCTGGGTCCCGGGTCGCTGGGTCCCGGGCTCGGCCGGCTAGGGGGTGGGAGGCTGCGGGCGGGCCTGTGGGCTTGCCGCTGATGTCTCCTGGGACTCTGCCGGCTGCTGGTTATGGCCCCCCGGGGCGATCCTCTGTGCCTCTCGAGGGGGGCGGGGGCCTTTCTGGTTGCTGTCTCCTTGGGGTTCCTGTGTTCTGAGGCAGCGCCTGGATCTCTGGGACTTGGAGCTCCCCCCGTCTTCTGCGCATCTTTGGGGGGCGGATCTGTGGTCCCTCACACTCTCTGTTGGACGCTCCTATAGAGAAACCTTAAATAAACAAGCGCGTGTACACACACAGGTGCTCACATGGTGCTCTCAAAAGTATGGGCTTGGGCACGTTAAACACAGGTCTTAAGACTATGGTGGGCACTTAATGCGTTGTGATTTATTATTGTTATTCTTCAGTTAAGCAATGTTGATTATATATTTTTTCATCAAGTCGATGCAGTGATAGCTGGATCTTGTTGTATTGTTGTTGTGTCCCTTTTTTTTTGTCCTTTTGCTTTTTTTTTTTTTGTCTTTTTCTGCAGGTCTAGAAGTAGACTCTTGTTCATTGTTTATTTTTGTGGAATCCCCCCCCCTCTCTCTCTCCACCTTTTCCTTTCTCTTTCACCTCTGTCTCCGTGTCTGGTCGGAATTACAAAGCATTCAACAACAATAACAATAAAGTTTTAAGTATCAGGCGTGACATTAAAAGCAAGCGCTTTGATGCTCCACCTGAGAGTAAGTCTGTAAGGCTTGTCACCAGCATTCAGACATCAATTCTGCTTGCTTCACAGCCAGACAGGACACGGTAAAAAAAAAAAAAAAAAAAAAAAGAGCAACTCACGATTTGATTAGATTGCGATTCTTGGGGTGGCGATTAGATTCTGAATCGATTCTTGATTCTCAATTTAAATCGATTCACAATCAGTATTAACAAAGAGTGTCAGCTCCAGGATTAACTACTTGTTGTACAAGTTAGTTAAAGCTATGGGACATTTTTATTTGACTTTAAACTGGTCATGCTCCAAAAATGCAAATTTACAATGTAAAATAAAGTGATTCTAAAACTGTAAACAGAAGCAATCTTTTGACCAAAAGGCAACATTTATTTGTGCTTACCTTGTAAAATATAACAAATCTGTAGTTATTAACAGTAGCTTTGAAAGTAATACGGTCAAATACTTTTCAAGTATGTGCAGAAACAAGTTACATGAGTAATCCTGAGTACTCATTTATCAAATTAGAAAATAAATATGAGAATATCTCATTTCTGAGTATGAAAAAATTACATTCTAGTGCCCTCTTATCAGCAGATTCAAACATAAATCATCTCAATTTATGGGACCACAAAAGCAAACGGAGTACTGACTCTCCTAACAAAGATCAAAAAAGTGCATCTCAAACCTGTAACATGCCAAATATTTGAGTTCTTGGAATCGATTCTGAACCTTTGTGAATCGATTCTGAATCTTTATAAATAAGAATCCCGATTCAGACTTGAATCGATTTTTTTCAGCACCTCTAATGACCGGATTGATTTCCCCTGGCGTGTTTGCTTTGCTGGCGTTAACCCTCTCACTGCTGCCATCGTTCAACTCCAGCTGGTCATGTTTGTCTTTATCTTTCAGTTAATCTGTCACACAGGGTCCAATCTGCACAAATTTTTACCTTATTTTCAGGACAAGCTTAGCTTTCAATATCTGTAAAATCCAATCCAATCCAATTTTATTTATAAAGCGCATTCACAAGGCATTACAACCAAACAAGGCGCTGTACACAAAAAATGTTAGTTAATTAAACAGGTGTTATACAAACATGTCGAACACAGATAAAAGATAAAAAGGAAATACAACAAAATTTCAGTGAGTTTTCAAGCGTGATTTAAAAATGCTAGCTGTTGGTGCTAGCCTCACTAGCAGTGGTAATGTGTTCCACAGCTTCGGTGCACAGACAGAGAAAGCCCTTTCTCCACGGCTTTTTAAACGTGCATTCGGAAAAGCTAGGAGGAGCTTATCTTCAGACCTGAGAACACGCGGCGGGTTGTAGTAATGGACAAGTTCACACAGATATGGAGGAGCTTGATGGTTCAAGGATTTGTAAGTCAGAAGCATAATTTTGAAATTTTTCCTGAACTGCACGGGCAACCAGTGGAGAGATTTCAGAATTGGAGAAATGTGTTGTCTGATTTGTCTAAATGTTTGCAGTTTTGTTTTAAATGATCCAAAACAGTATGTAATAACAAAAAAAAAACCAGATTTGTTAATTATATTTTTGTTGTGGACAGTGCACACAATGTTCATTGTTAAAAATGACCAGCCTGTGGTTTTAGTAGGAGCTAAGTTACGTTATTACCGTGGGATTTCATTTACAATAAATCTGGCTGAGCAGAGGTGTGTGTGAGTTTTTTTGGGGTGGGGGGGTGGGGGGTGGGGTGAGGGGGCTCTTGGTCTCTGGCTGGTTGGCCACCCCTGGTTTATGTGAATGAAGCAGGAAGATTTCTGCAGCCCAGCAGCAGCAGAAAGATGTGGGGAAGCAGCTCCCCCTTGTGGGTGTTTGTTTTATTGGTTTCCAGCCTTAACCTATGAGACGAGACTCTAAACTCTTTAAAACTAATCTAAACCATTTGTACCTGTTTTTCTGACCAACTTCTTTACATAAATCTGTTCTGTGTGGAAAACTAAACCAGGTTATTTGTTTGTGATATCTTGTGTTAATTTACCGAGCTGCTATAAGTCTTAACTGATGCTTTTAGTTCGAAATTATTTCTTAATTTGTTCCAAATGGCCCAGTGAGTCACAGGTTAATCGCAGGTAGATAACAGGTGAGTCAGAGGTAGATCACAGTTGGATCAGGTGGATCGCAGGGGAGTTGCAGGTAGATCACAGGTAGATCACAGGTGGATCACAGGTGGATCACAGGTGGACTCCATGATGTAGGAAGTAGAAGTGAATGAATTCAGCTCAGACTCAAAGGAGTTGTTGTTCAGAACATGTTCCATCTACGGATTCTGAGAAAACTCTAAGAATCCTTTTTAATGTTTAAACTCTGCTCTTTAGGTCTAAATGTTGTGAATCTCAGTTAAACCAACAACAGAGAATTTTCTCATGATAAAAGTCATTTCTGCATTTTGTCATTCCGACTTCAGAAGGAAGTCCAGACAGAAAACCTGAGCACTCTGGAGGTAAATCACCTCTCTTTTGTGTTTACATGTATTTTTTTACAGTTCAGTTTAATAAATGCCATTTTAAAGCTTCCTGTACATCATTTAAAACTCAGGTGAGGTTTTGTTTTTCTAGTTGTTCAGATTGAATCATTTGTTCTCAAAACTGGTATGAATTTTCTTCACAGCTCATATTCTGACAGTTTTTCTCTGAGGAAACCTGACGAACACAGATTTAATCTGTGAGACAATGTTCACTACAAAAGTTGACTCTATAATAATGAAAAAGGTGTTTTTATCTTGGTGTTTGATCCGAGTCCTAAACAAGTGAATGTCTGTTGTTGTTGTTGTTTTCCAGAGAGGAGCTCCATCTGGGCCCCAGCCAGACCGCCACCACCTACAAAAGCAGCTCTTCGAGTAACGGGGCCATGGGGCGACGGGCTACTCTTATCGAGCCAGAGCGCCTGAAGGACTTCGGTGAGGAGGAACTTCTCAACGGAGACGTGGTTGTTCATAAAATCAAAGTGGTGGAAGCCCCTGAGATTAAGCTGATGGACCCACCTAAAACCAGACAAGTCAGCGAGTTCCGGATCGTCCCCAGGCCTCCCGCTCAGTATTTGCGCTTCGAGGACATCAGCGCTGCAGCTTTCAGGATCCAGTCTGGGATACAGAAGACACCTTGTACAGTACGCTGGCTGATTGAAGTTACATCCTGTCATGTGTTATGAGTGGTGTTTGTGACCTCTGACCTCTGACATGTAGCTCCTGGGGAAGACTTAACCTGGACAGATGTTTCTACATAACCGTTTTGAATAATTATCGTCTAACCTGTTAAAGATGACTTCCTGAGCAACCTCTGTTTGGAGAAATGGAAGAAAGGGTCCTCTGTAGGGATTCGGTAGCTGAAGTCGTAATGAGCTTAAAGTATTCAGAAAAGGGATCAGATTTACCAAACGTACAGATTTCCCCGTGGCGTTAGTTAATGGCGCTGACTAAAGGGCAGGATGTTTGCAATCTCTCTTAAAGGAAGGGTTGGGGTTCCTCCTGAAGCTGCAAGCACAACGGCTCTGCCAGCTGACTCAGCTGCGTTCCCAGACAGAGCCAGACTCTAAACTTCCTAAACGAGATTAGTAAACAGAAGAGGTTTGAGCTGTTCAGAGGAGCAGTTTGGTGGGTGGGTTATAATGCAGTCATTCACAACGACTGCATCAGGTCTTTCCAGGATTGTTTGTTTCAGAGGCGATGAAAATGTTTCTTTTTTTTTTTGACAAATATTTCATTTATTAGTTTATTAGCCACATGGTAAAGATGAAAACATCTCCTACCCCGCTTTTACAAACTGAAACATTTATCCTGAGACTCAGAAATTTTGTGTTGTGATTGTATTGTAAAGTGCCTTGGGGGGTTCTATAACTTAGAATGTGCTATATCAAATAAAGGTGTTTTTAAAGTTTTTTTTTAAGTAAACTCAGTTCTGAAATTCTGAACTCCTGCTGATGTGTGTGTGTGTGTGTGTGTGTGTGTGTGTGTGTGTGTGTGTGTGTGTGTGTGTGTGTGTGTGTGTGTGTGTGTGTAGTACTCTAGACTCTCTAAACTCTATGGGATGGAGATCTACCTGAAGAAGGAGCACCTGCACTACACTGGCTCTGTGAAGGAGAGAGGAGTTCTGTACCTGCTCACCTGCCTCACTCAGGTAGCGTAAGTCAGGAGGAGATTTTGTGTTTAGAACACTGTATCAGGGCTGGACAATCTGCCTTCTAGGCTGTAACCCTTTTAACTTGAGGCCTAGGCCTTCCCTGGAGCAGGAAGGAGGGCTACCTGTCAATCAAGAGGATATACCCCTAAGTATTCATAATTATTATCTCCAACTACACCTAAACAGATGAGTTACAAATAAATACACCCCCTCAGAGACTGTAAATTAGATCTATTGAACCCAAAACATTTGTTAGAACCAGGAAGTAAAAAGGTTTTTTTCTGCAGTGATGTTGGTATTTTTAACATGAGAGTCAATGGCCCTTTTTACAAGACACACCGTGCCAGCAAATCAGCTCATTACCGCAGCAGTGTGGCTTATCAACGCACTATGCTGGCATGGCGATGTGTGAAGTTTGCAACTATCGTTCCGACTCACTTAGTAATGTTGCGGTAATTGTCTGTCTGACCACTTATAAACAACCTAGGGCTCCCTGATGACGCATCAGCTTTGCGGCTAACTGACAGCATTGTTTTCTAAAAACGGCTAATGAATAGGAACTAGCTCCTTTCTGAAGCCAGTCCCTAGTGGATGAAGGGGGAACTGCAGTTTTGTCACTTCCTCGTTAGCTTCACTTTATTCAGACAAAGTTTTTCCTTTGGTTTAGAAAACCACACATTTTCTTGGTTTTTCTCCCTCCAGGAGCAGCAGACAAAGGGCGTGATTGTAGCCACGGACTGTAACTTCTCCATGGCCGTGGCTCACCACGCGGCAGTCATGAAGGTACCGGTGTTCGTGATCATGCCGTCAGGATGCTCATCACCCTGTCTCAGGATCTACAGAGACTACGGCGCCATGGTCATTTCCTACGGCAGCACCAGCCGTGACTCCCAGAACCACGCCCGGCTCCTGGCCAGTGAGAACGGATACCTGTACCTGGAGGAGTCAGTCTGCCTGGTTCATCTCAGACGTGAAGAGCAGGTTTCCGTGTTCTGTAGAAATAATCAGCTGTTTCTGTCTTTGCTCATGTCAGAGATGAAAGTGCAGAGTACCTGGCTGGACTGGGAACTGTGGGAATGGAGATTTATGAGCAAGTGCCTAAAGTGGATGCAGTGATTGTTCCTGCAGCAGGACAGTATGGACTCCTTGCTGGCACCGCTGCAGCCATCAAACACCTGAACTCTCAGATTCTGGTCATGGTGAGTAAACGCTGGACTTTCGCTGAGATGTGTGTGGGTGGGGGCTGGTCTTAGGTTTTATTGTAGCACCTGCATTCAAACAAAATAACTATAAAAAGGGTCTCACCTTTTTTAGACAGCTGCCGGAACAGCCTCAGGTCAGAAACATAGTGTTTAATCCTTAAAGACACACTCCTGAATTTTGTGGATCTATGCTCTCTGTCGCCCTCTCCAGGCTTGCTGCATAACGCCACTGTCGTAAAGTCCAATGTCTGTCACGCATGAGAGGCGTGTTTACTGGCTGTTTCCCGACTTGCGGGCCAAATAAACATTAAGCGGCGTTTCAGCATTGAATAAAGTTTTATCAGGACTGTATAACAACTTTATTCCCAATCAAACACAATAACCTCGGTGAAATCATTTATCACTCACCTATCCATTAGCAGCACGGCTACATCCAAGTTCATAGTACATGCTGTTCTTTATTGATTGATTGATTAGCATTCAAATATCTCAATGAAAAACAAAATATTAAAGATATAAAAACTAAAAAATTATCACAAAGACAACGTTAATCAAAAGGTATTGGCTGAAGCATTTGCTTATTACGCCAACCCTTCTAACAAGAAGAGCTCTCCAGCGAGGACAAGCCGGTCCCGTATTACCTCTGTCTTTGCTCTTGTTCTTTTCCTAGATTCCTCTGATGAGGGGTTTCTCGTAGGGATGTGTATTGGTAAAAATCTGGCGATACGATACATATCACGATACAAGGGAGACGATACGATATATTGCGAAACTTTACGCCAGACGATATTGCCGATTTTTAAGACTGAATTTATTGTAAGAAAATTCCATTACCCGTCCAACTAATACTTAGCATGCTTAAAGGCACAGTCTGTAACATTTAAATGTAGAATAACTTTAAAAAAATTTTATTTTGACCATCTGACCCAATTTTATTAAAAAAAGTAAATAATCTTTAATATTTCAATTTTCTCCTAAGTCCCTCCCCTACCCTGTAGAGCTCAGCCAATATTTCTGCAAGCCTAACGCGTTGACCAATAGCGCTGCGTTTCCACCAGAGGTAGCCGTCAGTCATCGAGCACGAGCAGGTCTCAGCGTGCACAACAGTGTCACGCGCCTCACTCAGCTTACTGCAGAAACATGGAGCAACAAAACCCCAAATTACCGATTCCTCGACTGCCTTCCACATCTCAAAAAACATTTAAAAAGTTTAAAAGCCCCTCTTCAAAAGTGGCTGTAAGATGTTTAAGACAGTTGAGTAGAATTTACATTGGAGATTGTTTTAAACGATGGAGAGATTTTCGTGATCTACACGGCCTGAAAATGGATGAAGAGTTGGCAAAGTATCTTTTGGACAGGTAAGTTATTTATTGTTTTTCAGATAAATTTACTTAAAACCTTTCTTTCACTGAAAGAAGTAATAGAGCAAACAAGCTTTGTATGCTTGGTGTCCTATTGGCTAATGTAGCATTAGCTTGAATGCTAAGTCGACATGAATCGATGCTAGTCGAACTATTTATGCTATATTTGGAAGAAGTTTGAGTAACGAAAGGGGATTTTAGTTTTTTTATATGGGAGCTAATGATTAGTGTGGCGTTTAACTATAGGCCATATCAGTGTATTGTTTTAAGCTCTTGTTTATAACTTCCCCGTTAGCGGGGTTCAGTTAGCATCTTGAACGCTGAATTAGATGTTTACACTTTCCTGAGCTGCGTGTTTGATTAAAATGAGTAATCAGCAGCTCATGTAGCACTTGTAGAAGTCTGAGGAGATGATTCAGCAGTTAGAATTAGGTGTGATTGATGAGGAACGTATCCAAAACCTTACGTTTCCATTAGCACTGAAAGACTTATTGTGCTAACCTGGGTGGGCCACGTGTACAGATTACCATCTGATTTTGTGGTCTTACCTACGTGAAAACTCCATATTAAAATAAAAGGAATGATAATCAGCTCGTGCAGAAATCTGTGAAGGCTGGGGAGACTTGTTTTATTACAGTGGAACAAAGATATCTGTAACCATTTTTGGTTTTGCTGCAAGTCGGCGAACACTTATGAGTTTTTTGTAAGTGCATTATTAGTGTTTTCATCTAAAAAAAGTAAATGTAACTAGGGCTGCAACAACGAATCGATGAATTCGATGAAAATCGATTACTAAAAGCGTTGGCAACGAATTGCGTCATCGATTCGTTGTGTCGCACAACTCTTCCAAAAGCCCCCCCCCCCCCCCCCCTCCCGCCCACCGTTGCGCGCAGACCAGAGCAAGTCAGATCAGCGCGAGGGAGAGCCGCAGATCAGCGCGAGGGAGAGCCGCAGATCAGCGCGAGGGAGAGCCGCAGATCAGCGCGAGGGAGAGCCGCAGATCAGCGCGAGGGAGAGCCGGTAGAGGCAGATCAGCGCGAGGGAGAGCCGCAGATCAGCGCGAGGGAGAGCCGCAGATCAGCGCGAGGGAGAGCCTGCAGACTTGCGCTGCTGCGAACCGGTTCCGCATTGTTGCACAGCGATCCAGGCAGCTGCTTCCAGCGCACGGTCCATTCTCAAAGTGGCGCAACCAAAAAACTATAATTAGCACACGATCGTTCTTGTCTGCACATGTTCTCTATTTTCTGTCTTATTTGTGCCTGAAGCGCTCTGCTGCGGAGCTCATCACCTGTGCTGTGGTGATTTCACCTCACGCAGCATCGAAAACGCGCTCTCCGCTTTGCGGTCAGGAGATCTCTTTGATCTGCTCAAAAGTAACTGATGAGGTGAAAAAGTAAGAATCCAGGCAACAGATTTTCTGGAGAATTATGAGGAGATGCAGGAAGATGAGAGACAGACAGGACAGGAAAATAGTTAAATAAAAACAAGAAAACAAAGTAAAATGTAGGTAGATTTATCTCCACTACACGTTTTTACCAGTAAAAAACAATAAGTTATACACATGTCATAGTTATACATCTGATACAATTCAGATCACCTTCAAAACTCAGTCACACACCCAGGGCCGTTTCAAGACATTTTGGGGGCCAAGGCAAAATGTCCCCCCCCCCCCCATAACTGGGCTCCCCAGAAGCCTCTGTGTAATTGATGCCCTCTCCAGTAGTGTTAGTTATACAGTGTTTATAAAAGCCCCTCAGACATTACTGACATGTTCTAATATTATCAGATGAAAAACTAAATTATCAGACATGCTGTCTCATCAGCTTCTTTTCTAAACTTGCAAAAAGTAACAAAACCATTTGAAAGCCACTATTTGTGGATTCTCTGAAAGTTTCCATGGAGTTTGTGACAACTTATTTTTTCATTGATCCTATCGTCTAATCTCACAGCTGAAACAAGCATCCTTAATAATCTGTGCACAGGAAGCTTACCGATGCTGTAGTAAAACAAAAGGTATAATAATTTATTATTAATAAAACCTTGTTGCAGCACTAAAGCATAAAAATGAGATTTTGCATTAAATATGCAAAATATTTACATATGAATTGTTTTAGAGCCCTTTTATTGGCAGAATCTGATATTAATTTAGTTCTTACAAAAAATGGGTCCCAACATGGTTTGTGTGGCGTTGCCATAGTGTGACATCATAGGCACAGATCCCCTGTCCTCTTGTTTGGAAATGGAAATATGATCACCCTACATTAAACAAACTGTCCACCCGGGCTTTTGCACTGCACAGAGACGCTTCGCTGCCTATGACTTCGAATGTCAGTTGAGAGTCAGTCTCATGCAGACTGACCAATGAAGAGAGGGCCTCAAGTTAAGACCCTCTCCTCATTGGTCAGTCCACACGAGGTGGGTCAAAGGTTACTCTGGGCGGGTTACGTGTTGTCAGGCATTCAAGTATTGAGTATATTTACTGCATATTACAGTAAAATATTCTGTATGTGACCACATTATGGTGATCCTCGGGTCGTGATGATGGAGCCCTTGAATATTGTTGCCCAGGGTACAACAAAGTGTTAATCTGGCCCTGGTTCCGCCGTCACATTCCCGCAGAAACTGGTTGATCACACCGGGGCCAGACTACTAGCATGTGGTTTTACAACCACAATGTCCTCGGAAGCAAAAACGCTTTTAAAAGGGAGGGAGGAGTCCTAACTGTTGCTGCAGGCGTGTTGTGTGAGAGTGCAGTTATATACTGGTTAATATATTTTTGGGTTCAGTTGCTTTCATGTGGCCTAATGTGAGTCTATTTGGGATCATTGGAATGATCAGCAGCATTTCTTGATGTGACTTTATGGCAGTTGCCCAGGGCATCATCGCAAGGAGAATGGCATTCATTTACTTTTGTTTTATTTGGTATTTTTTCAGTCATTTTTGGAAATAGTGATCAATTTTGATTAATTCACAGCCTATGTTTAATTACATTTAAAATAAATGTCAACAGATGAGATCAAACAAAACAGATGAGAATTGCCCTTAAGCTGTTTAACTTGGACCAAGCATTTTAGGTCACAGATAGATGTAGCTTAGGGTCTCTGTCTATACACCTTATAAGACAATTTAGGTGATGGCATGTTGTTTTTCTGCTATTGAACTGTTTTCTAATAATGTTGTGTTAAATGAAGTGAAGGAAGGAGAGAAATAACGTTTCCCTAGCAGTTTTTAAAAATTTCCCCATGTAATCCGATTAATCGATTAATCGTGTCGAGACCCCATCCGATTAATCGATTATCCAAATAATCGTTTGTTGCAGCCCTAAATGTAACTAATCGCCACATATGTCTTTTAGGGCATGTGGATCGGTCTACTCCATCATGTGACTGGAGAACATGAGTGGTCTCTGGATGCTTGTCAGCATGATCCTTTACTAAGTGACAGAGAGAAAGACTGGATTCAGAAAGGCTCCACTCCACACAAAGCCCTCAGTGACATCATTCTCAGTGAACGCTGGCTGAAAGAAATCCCAAAATATTTGAAATTCAGGTACTGTATTTAATTATAGCTATAAATAATAATATACTTGTTCTAAATGTTAAATTCTTGTTTTAGATCTACAGCAAATTTGGAGGC